TAGGCTGGTGGGAGCTGAGTCAAGCATACCTAGAGAGAATACCATGTCTTCCTCCTGCCTCTGTCTAGACCCTGCCCGTGGTTTGGGAGTCTATTTCTTCACCTCGTTTGGGCTATGACAAAGCCTCTTATGACCCTCTTTTTCCATACTTGCTGCTTAGGTCTGAGGGCTGAAGGGCACACACCTGAGCACTTTCCAACACACATCACTCAGGACAAGGATGATGGTTGGGTAGATATACTGGAGTGGAAGGAGGACTCCTAACCTCAGCTACCTCCATTCAAGGCAAGAAGGGATCCCACACCACCCCCTAGGACTTTCCAGCTTTGTCCCTCCTGATTCCCCCTGAGCCCCATCACATTCTCTCTTCACTGAGCTTGTAGAGAGGCAGCTTCTCCTTCGCGCTACTCTAGGACCTCAGGACCCAGCCCAGGGGGCTGCGGGATAGAAGCACGACAGCTTTCCTCCAGCTGGATTCCACCCGTCAGGGCCAGGGAGTGCCAGGGTTCCTGTACTTCTAGTCCCAATTCCTGTTTCCTCCCAGAAGAACAGGACAGTAGTAGGGAAAGGATCTTGAGGCCATTTTCCCCCACAACTGTTTCCACTCAGAGACAGGAAGACGCTTTCAACTCAACCCCTTCTAGAGAGTGAGGCAAAACTTGCCTTTGCCCCAAGCCTCCAGCTGAAGACAGAGACTGAGTTACTCAGTGAGGGAAGCCTTACCCAGCAAATACCAGGTACCTAGCAGCTCCCTGGTCATATACAGGAAACCAAGCAGGAGCCAGAGAGCCTGGATGGATTGCCTGTGTTTGTCTTTATGGGCGAGAGATAATTATGCTGTATATTCATGCCTGGGATGCCATGGAACAGAGGACCTCAGTACAGGGCAATGGCTAGAACCTGGCTTACGGAACACTGGAGTAGACCCCAGTCTGGTGGGCACAGGGCCTAGCCTCCAGAGACCTTCATCCCAGCAATCCAGCCCTTCCCCTGGCACGAGAGTATCGTGCACATCTGCTATGGTTTGTGTTTAGTCTGTCCCCACAAACTTACACAAGAGTCTCATCCTCAAAGCCACAGTTAACAGCGTGAAGAAAGTGGAAACTGAATTAGAGGTGGGGCCTTTGAAATGCACTTAGGTTCGGATATTGTGGTAGAGATCCCTCTGATTAAGGCTTGGTGGTTTTCTAAGAGGGACAGAGACTAGGCAGACTCTTGCAGGTGATGCTCTGTGGTGAAGCAGCCGAGGAGGTTGGGGACATGCTTTCCAGAACCCCTGCCTTGCTGTTTGGACATTCAGCTCCAGAATGGTTAATTAAATAGATGTCTCTCCTTTATAAAGTTACCCTGCCTTGTGTATTTCATTATAATAACAGCCAACAACAAAATCTAATCAAGACTCTCCCTACAAAATGAATTGCTGAGGTGGGGAGCTGCCAAAGGGGCCGAGTGTGAAGCAGTGGTCCCCAAGGAGCTCCAGTCTCAGCTGAAGAGAGGCGCAAAGTCCTGCTCTCTTCATGCCCAGGAAAAGCTCGAGTCTTGAAGGAGCTTTGACAGAGGGATGGAAGCTATTTGAGCCACGTGGGAACAGTTTATCAGAAAGCTTGGCAAGCCTACAGGCTGTGGGTCAGGGCAGCATCTCCCATGTTGTGCTGCTCTCAGGGCCTCCTGCATTGACACCAAGGAACCAGCTTGGTCCCTGAGAGAGCTGAGATGTGTCTCCACACTGCTTTCCCTGGGCCTGTTCAGGTAGGCAGTCCTAGGCCAAGTTTCCCAGCCACCAATTCTTAAGACATAGCTATCCTCAGAAGGGACAGTGAGAGGTCAGGTCTGAGGTCAGGGATGATGCTCAGTTGGGCTCACATGCCAACAGACCAAGCTCTTGATCTGCAAGGCTGTCTCAGGCTGCACTAGCATGAACAAGGGCTTTCAACTGGCATTCCTGGAGATTCCAACGATCAGGCTCCCCACCTCGCCTCAGCCTCTCATAGCTCTCCCAGAAGCACAGGAGGTCACAGAGAGGCCTCAAGAGGGCCATGCTGGGGGAGACAGGAGTATGGCCAGAAGCGTGATGTAGCAATCACCCATCTCTCTCCCAAGAGCAGCTCATGGCTCAGGAGGGTTTGCTCAGCCAAGTCCTCTCTAAGTGGTTTCCCCCTCCTCTCTCTTCAAGGCGCATCTGTTCACCACAAGCATGTGGCCAAATGATCACTAGCAGGCACATGGGAGTGGGGAAGCAAGCCATTTAGCCTGGAGAGGGGAATCATGACAGCATGTCCACAGCAGCCTCCAGAAGCAGGGGGCTGCAGAAGGCGCCCAGAGGCTTGTGAGAATGGAGCATCCATAGAGCTAATGAGATGTGCCTTTTCCAGGACATCAGGTCTCACTGTTGCCTCTCCCCCTCCAAGCCCTAACATGGAGAACAAAGCCACAGCCATAGGGCCTGCAGCTGCCTGTGCATCATGAAAACCCAGGAGGCAGCTGGCCCTAGTAGAAGAATCTATGTGGAGAATGGGAACAGAACAGGGAGATAGTGTGTGTGTCCCCCCCCCCCACACACACACACTGTCAAGAGAACCTCAGACTCTGGCCAGGCTGGTGACTCAAGACTTCCATTTCAGTGAGATGAAGTGTTAATCTGGGTAGTGTTGAAACTGGAACTGGCGCATCCAAGGCCCCATAAGATGCGGAACGACATGATTTACACGGACACCTGGATGCAGGCCCTGGCCTTGTGACTAACAACACAGAGACAAGAGAGATGGAGGCCACACCTACACAGGCAAGGGCAGCACAGCAGGCCCGAGTCTTCCACAGCTGAGCAGGGGTATGGAGCCTCAGGGCTCATCAACCACAAGTCCTCAAGTGCATGCTGCCCTGACAGGCCTTTTAAAAATGCAAATCTGATCACATCACTGTCCTGCCCGGGGGGCTTCTGAACACACTTAAAAGACAGGCAAGGAAGCCCAGGGCTGAAGCTGTGTGCAACAAAATACAGCAGCCTTGGATTACAGCCCAAAGTATAAAATAAAATACCCAGGAGTCCACACTGACATAAATAAGTGATTGAATACATTAGTAAATGGGGGAGAAGAGACTAACCTCCCAGGAAAAAAGGATCATAAATAACTTATGTAGGCTGCCCCCGCCCCAGGACAGAAGGGAGACTAGCAACCCTACCCTGCAATGTGGGCTGCACACACCAAGAGCCATCAGCCATCAGCCATGCTGATACTGGGACCCTCCACTTTATAAAAATGATACAGAAGATTTACTTATTTTTATTTTGTGTTTGCGAATGTTTTGCCCACATGGAGGCGAACCATTAAACATGCAACGCCATGTTTAGAGGCCAGAAGAGGGCGGTGGATGTTTTAGAACTGGAGTTAGAGACAGTTGTGAGCCAGGATGTGGGTGCTGAGAATTGGACTGCGGGCCTCTGCAGAAACAGCCAGTGCTCTCAATTGTCCAGCCATCTCTCCAGCCTCAGTTAAAGAAAAAAATTTAAAGGAAATGATACTTTAACTCCTTCATCTTCTTTCTCCAAAACTCATGGCAGCAGTCTAACCATAAGAAAGATATCAGCCAAGTTTAAAATGAGTGGCACTCTGACCAAAAGAACCAAACCATCAAGGTCACCAAATAAAATAGACCTGAAAACTGCCACAGCCAAGGGGCACCTGCGGAGACTAAATGCGACAGTGTCCTGAGTGATATCTGGGATCAAGAAAAGGCACTAAAGACAAACTACAGAACCCTGAGTAATGGAGACTTCAGTTAATGAGCAGTGTATCACTATGGGGCCAGTGACGGCGCCACCTTAGCACAACACCATCAGGATGCTAGCAGAGGGAACTATGAACCTGGGTTAGATAAATGGAATATCACTTTTTATCTTCTGTATTCTTCTGTAAATCAAAACTGTACTTAAAAAAAACTCTATTAATAAAAGTTTTACAAAAGGAAACAAAAGAAAGACCCTGGTTCCTACAGTAACTACCTGGCCTGCCTGCTGAGCCACACTCCCCTCCGGTGGCTGCAGGCTCCAGCGTCTACACTCCACAGACCCTTCAGCTCGGCTCCCTTGCCATGTATGCCTTTGTCACACAACTCCAGGGTCCTCACAAAGGCAGAAACTCCCCAGGCAATAATAGCTCTTCCTTCCCCCGTATCCTCAGCTCACACAGGGTTAAGCCTGCTGAGCCATCAAGTCCCAGGAGGGCATCCTAATCCAATGGCTCATTGTGTGTCTCCAGAAACCTCAAGGCTCCACAGGCCAGGCAGTGTGTGTGTGTGTGTGTGTGTGTGTGTGTGTTCTAGACTTGTGTCCCGTCTCTCGCATAGTGCCTCGCCTGAGCAGCTCAAGCGCATGCTCCTGGCACTCATGAATGAACAAGACTCAAAAAGGGCTGGGATGGACCTTCCGGGAAATAATCACTCCAAGGCACAGCACAGTCACCTTAGTACAATTTATCTGAGAGGCCTGGGAACCTCAGATGCGGAACAAATGGGTAGCTCTCACTTCCACTGGACCCAGGAAGCCGGAGGCAAGCTCGGTGTCCGTTGGACTGCGTGCATCAGAGAGCAGTCACTCTTGGATAAACGTGACACAGTCACATAACCATGACCACAATTGAGATGCAGGACAGGCTATGACATTACAGCTGAGAGATCTTCTTCTGGCTCCCACCCTGGCCACCATAACACTTTCCATTCCTTGTAGTTTTGCCTTTCCCATACTCTCCCATTAAGTGGAAACCTGCAGAGGGAACATTCTCACTCACAGGCTATTGGTTCCGCCTCTCGGGAGTCCTTGCCTTACACACTGCTACGGAAGAACTAGCTGCCTTCAGGAAGCCAAGCTGCAAGCCAAGCGATTACAGACATGGTGTCAGTGCTTTGCTGGCGCCATCTTAAACACGGCTCACCCCAGGGCAGGGGGAGACCACCCGGCCCGGCTCTCTCTTCCAGCTCCTGTCGGGGAAGTGCTTGTGGATTACCTGTTTATGTTCTTGGCCAGGTGCTGGCAGGAGGCAGGGGGGACTTCTACTCCACGGCCATCTGTGGCAGAAGCCGGGGCTGCCCGTTCTGAGGCTGGAGGAGCAAGACTTGCACGGGCAGCAGATGGGGAGCTGCCGGGGACACAAAGAGAGAATTATTTCACATGGAATTCGGCTCGTTAAAGGCACATTCATCAGTCCCTTCTCACCCCACCCAACCCACCCACACTTGTGGAGTGGACTTTTTAAAGACGTAGCACACTGCTCCCTTGGTGTGGCTCCCACCCCCCACCCCCACATACGGTGGAGGCTGCAGCCCCCAGTGCCAAGTTTCTCTTCACTCGGCTCCAGAAAAACTAGGGATTCATTAGCTGCTTAAGTGTTGGGGAGCCTGGGTCCTTCCTTGTTTGAGGTTTGCTTGAAGAGGATTCTTAGAGAAAAGTATCCTCACAGTTTGGTGCGTGCAATGACACTCTGTAAATGGCATTAAATTAAACTATAAACCACAATTCTGTAAGTTAGCCATAATTTGCCTCCAAATCCCAAGAGAGAGAGAAGCATGGGTGAGAAAGTTAGATCACCCAAGAACCCGTTCGGGGACTCAGGGCCAGCCCTGGCTAGGGCCCACAAGGATCATGAAGGCAAGCAGCCCTCATGTGGTAGCCCTCATGTGGTAGACGTCTGCCCCCTCCTGGACAGCTAGGGGACCTGCCACACTTTTCAGGGATCCCACAGGACACACAAGCCTGAAGCTTGCAGCCTTGGAGGTTTTAAACTATGGAAAAAGGCATGTCATCATTGACAGCCTGGGAACAGCTTTCAAAGCAAGCAACTTTCCAGCCTCTGCAGCCAGCCACACAGCTGCCTGTCGAGAGCTGCTCGGCTGAGGGCCTCTCAGAGCCCACAGGGAGCTAGGTGACTCAGAGCCAGGGCCTGAGACACAGGCTGCAGCGGCAGCTGGGGTTTGAGGTTTTGTAGTCTGTGGTGCAGGACCCCTTCTTCTTTGGGGGGGGCAGTAGCCATAGAAGTATTGGTCTCTGAGTCAATATGCCCTGCTCAGTGAGAGCCTTGCAGGCTCTGCCGTCAGAACGGACCTGGTCCTGGAAGACAGCAGCCACTGCATTAGGTGCCTGACCTCCAGGCCCTGGAAAGGGAATTCTTATTCCTTATTAAAGCCCTGTGGTGATTTAGCAGGCTCCACAGAATCAACCCTGGCTTTGTGCAAACCCCCCTCCACACAGACACACACACTTCATGGCTTTGCCCAGCCGCTGATTCCCCTAACAGGCCTTCCTCCTGGGCAGACAGCTCCTCCTTTGGTAAGCCAGCAGTGTCTCATCCTCCAGTATCCAGCCTACTTCCTAACAGAGTCATATAAGCACCTTCACGCCTCACCGAGGCTGCACTTGCCCCCTGTCTTCTCTACCCTAGAAAGATGATGAATGAAAACGAGGTAAAGACAGCTGTGTTAACAAAAGTCCTCCCACACAAAAACAAAACAACAACAAAACACCGAATACAGCGCCTGCAAGACTGATTAGAACTTCAATTTTAAAAGGTTAGAATATTTCAGATCCAGAACCAAATTATCTTGAGCTCTTTTAGCGTCCAAGTAGACATTTACTGCCCTTCTCTGTGTGTGACCTGACATCCTCAAGACCGAGGTAGATGTTTTTGGAATGTACAGACAGACCCCTAGCTTCCTTCCGCCAAACCAGAAGCTGAGATAGGAGTTGAGGTTATGACAGATTTCCCTATTTTGCTACCTACCTGATATTCCCACCAATCTATTTGGAAAATGTCCTGATTCATGACTTGTTTTGGTCTGTTACTACAGAAACATCATGGGACTACATGCATGATGAAACATGGTACTTGGGGTAACCAAAATAAACTGTCTCTCACTCCCTTTGATGTGACAGCTGTGGTGTTTTGTTTTGGTGTGTACACGTATGAGCATGCACACATGGGCATGTGTGTGCGTGCTCATGTGCATGAGTGCATGCAGTTGTGATGGCATGCATATGTGCATATCAGTGGATAACTAACTCAGATAGCCAGGCTTCTCTGCAAGTGTCCTCACCTGCTAATCCGTCTCATCGGCCACGAGAGTTGTGTTTCCTCATTAATAGCATCCACATCTGACCTATGCTCCCCGCTGACCCAACACCCCAGCCACACTGCCGAAGGAGGCATCATCACACAGGTGAACAGGGAACCCACAACGCCCACGGGCTATAACCAAGTGTCAGGAGGTCAGCCTAAGCTGGAAGCCATATTGCCAGTTCCTCAAGGGCCCCACGGGAATGGGGTGGGGGAACAAGAGCCCCAAAAGTTATAATCCTCGTAGGCCCTGAGAAGCTAATCCACAGTGAACAAAAACTGAGAGGTAAGCCAGGCATGGGGGTACACGCCTGGAAGCTGAGGCAGAAGCATCATCAGGTCTAAACCAATGTTGGCTACATAGTAAGACCTTGTCTCAAGATGAAATCTAAAAGAATGAGTGCAAATGAACAAAGCAAACTGCCGGAAGCTGTCATCTCCTTAAGAGAGCTTCACTATGACAACCTTTATCCATGCTCACAATTGGTAAAACTCCAACCGCTGATGGGCACAGTGGCGGCGCATGCCTTTAACCACCAGCACTCAGGAAAGGCAGGTAGACCTCTGGGAGTTCAAGATCAGCCTGGTCTACATATGGAGCCCCAGGGCGACAGAGAGACCCTGTCTCAAAGGGGAAAATCTTGCTAGTCTTAATGTCAGCTTTCTCAGGAGACTCCTCTGCTGGCTGAGCTCCCTCCATTTTACGCATCCCAGGAAGATTTAATTTAATTAAAGAGGGGTGTTGCTGGAAATTCTGTTATTTTAAGGGTACTTGCTGTTGGGTTGTGAAGGAAGTTGCCAGAAGGGTAGGGAAGATGGCGTCAGACCTGTGGTCCCAAGACAGCTCACAGCTGAGTATCTGACAAGGATGCCCTTAGACTTTAGCTGCTACTGTCCCTTCCAAGAATGTCATGCAGCATTTCCCAGGGTTACCCAGTACCAAGCTCCTCTCTGCTTAGTAGTCTGGACAGCCCACTTGTCCTTAAGCCAGCCATATTCCCAAAGGGCCACTAGGCAGCTCCCTCCTCTCTTCCCCTCCACTGGCCCCCTCCTCCATAACCACACCCTTCCTGCCCTGGCCAGTTCCCATGAGCTGAAGGCACCAAACAAATGACTCAACAGCCCAATTAAGACTGGAGCCTTGCTCCCACTGTAGCCCGTTCTTGGCCCATCCATGAGTGAGGCAGTCAGGTCCCAACAGGGAAACTGAGTGACTCACTACCAAAATGGGCACCATGGCCCCTCCTGTCCCCAGCAGAGCCCCTCTCCCCTCTTCTTCCTCCTCCTCCGAGGGTCGGACACTGGCACCGGAAGTCAGAACGGTGGGGTTTTTTTTCCCTATTCTCAGAGGCTTGGGACCCCTCATCACCTCTTCCGCTGAGTCACCTCCTTCTTCCGGAATCAGTCCTCTCTGTCCAGCCACCTCTGTGGCCTGGGCCTTCCTCTTCTTAGAGCAGAACCCCTGGGTATCCAGGGGTGTGGATCTCTGTGGTTTGTCCCCTTAGGGTCAGTTCCCACAGCCACTGGAATAGCCTGGTTAGGATCTCAGCTTACCTAAAACCCTCTCCAAGTCCTCATGAGCCTGTCACAGGTGGGCTCCCCATGTGGTTCTAAGCCAAACATAGGCCAGTCTCCACAACTCCATGCTCCACAGAGAAGTTAAATCCCTTGGGCCCCCAAGCAGTACCTTCGCTTATACAGACCCTTCATCTAGAGGGGGACCTGGCCTCTTCACATAGTCACCAAGCAGTGAAGTCCTTACCTGAAGGGGAGACAGTAGCCACCAGGCCCTCCAAACATCTGGTAGTCCCTGAAAACACACCCTACTCTCCTGCCAGAGCAGGAGCCCCGAGGAGGCATGAGTCTCTCCCACCACACGTGGGGCACTCAAGAGCATTCCACAAGCAACAGGCCCTTCCATCCCTCACCTGGTGCCACAATCTCTTGGGCCACCGAAAGTGGGACAAGTGCTCTGTGCTCTGTTAATGCCAGAGCCTAAATGCTAAGGCAGACCAGGCCATGGCCTCTACAGGTGAAATTAATGCAACTAAAGGCAGCATGAACCATGTTCTAACAAGTGTCAGGAATCCGAGAAGCAGCCAGGCACAGGGCCTTCTCAGTGTGGCACTCTTGAGTCACACACCCAGAGGCCTAGATCTGAAAAGGACCTTGTGTGCATTCCCTGCTCCCCTCCCTGCTTCCTGCAGAGAACGCTGGCTGCTGTGGCAGAGACAGGAAGGCGGTAGGAGTTCCTGGTCTACAGCCCTGGCCAGCTCCTGTCTCTGCTTCATCCCACATGACCAGCAATGAGCATCTTAAAAACATTATTCTCAGGAAGGCAGCACTTCATAGCTGAGAGTCACTGCCCAGGACCACTCCCAGCCTGTGCTGAGTCCCTGGGGGTGCCTGCCAAATCCAGCACAAGGATAGCAGAACACTTCAAAATGGAGAATCTATTCCCATCTTCTCATGTCATCTTTAAAGTAGTCCCACTGTCCTCTGAAAGTGGACGGACAAGGGAAGTATGCAAAGACCCTTCTGGCTGTAAATACCCATGATCTTTTCTTCCTATGTAAGGGATTAATGTTTTCCAAACCACAGTAGACTAACCAAGAAGCCAAATTCAAATTCAAGCAGAATGTTCCCAATTTTGAAAGATAAAGAGAAATTCTAATTTAATTTAAACTTTGTTGTTGCTCAAGACAAGGTTTCACTGTGTAGCTCTGGCTGCCCTGGTACTCACTCTGTAGACCAGGCTGGCTTCAAACTCACAGAGAACCACCTGCTTCTGCCTCGAAAGTGCTGCGATTATAGGTGTACACCACTATGCCTGACCTAATTTTAACATTTTTGGTTTGTTTGATGGTTTGGTTTTTGTGTTTTTCCTTTAGGATTAAACTGACCTAAACCACCATGGTTTAGCAGGCAGGCAGGATTTATCATCAATCAAGGTGTTGTTAAAGCCAGCTGGACAAGATCTTTGACTGTCTAGGACCTACGGGTCAGTTTGCTGTCCCTGAACTGGTACT